TGAGGCTGTGAATGCTGCTGAGGGCTTGCAGCGTTGGTTTTTGTTGGCACTGTCGGGATCATATCGGTTATCTGCTTTAGCGGATTCTTGGACCCTTTTCGTGAGGGCTATCGCCGGCCAGAGGGTTACGGCATGTATGGTGGTAAGAATCATGGGACAGAGTGAAAAGCTGAAGTTACTAATAACATCGATAGCGATGAATACCGCGAAGGACAGGAACAGTGACGAAAACAAATGATATTGGATGTGGCGGTGTTGGAGAAGGGGAGGGTTGGGAGGGTATGTGGGGCTGGCTGGGGGGAGGAGAAGATGATTTATATGTTTTGTGCATGTTACTTCTTTGATGTTCTCTTTTTTCTCTTTTCTGTTGGCTTACTTGATTTCCTTCTGTTAACGGTACCTGCGCTATGGCCAGACCCTGAACTTGTACTCATGGCGAAGGATACTGCAAAGAAAAACATGCGGAGGAATGAAGAACGCATGCGCAGGTTCACAATATGCACTTTGGCTGTAAATGTGCTCTCCCTTGTTTTTATCATTTACCACCGCGGTTCTCTTCCATGGTTTCGAGATGTTGTTGGTGTGGGCTTTTGGGCAGCACAGGAGTTTGTGGCGCTTTTTCTCTTGAAGGCATTTGCGAAGCCCACTTGTAGCTCAACCGGTGAGCTGCTGGAGTGCCCGGATGCTTCTAATCCCAGCGAACTGGGTGTGTACTCCTATGCACAGGATTTACTGTGGGTCTGTTGGGTTGTGGAACTTTTGTGCTATCTGTTTCACTGGGCTTTTTTTCTTTTGTACCTTCCCATTCCCGCAATGGCATTGTACCAATTCTGGGCTTTTATTGGCCCGTTGTTGCTGCGCCGTCAGCCCTCCGCCGATGAGAGCTCGGAGGGGGCTGCAATTCCGCGTAACCGTGCGGAGCGCCGAAGACAAGAGCTCCTGCAACGCAAGAAAAACACGAAGTAAACCCTCTCGGAGTTTATTGTGCGTGCGTGTGCGAGTGAAGTGCGAGGGATGGGGGGTGGAGAGCTGAACGGAGGGGAATGGGAGGACTGTGCTTGGCACAGAGTTGAGCGTCAGAGGGCGGATGAGTTGCTTCGCCACAGGAGGAAAAAAGAGGGAAAGAAAAAAAGAGAAAAAAAAAATAACTGCACTGTGAAGGGACTGGACGAATAAAACACAAAAAACAAAGAGACAGCGAGAAGGAAGGAGGTGAAGCGGAATGACGGCATCCGTTTGTGCGTTTTGTGCTGTTCCCATTTTTATGTGATTTTAGGCATTTCTACATGAAATTTTCCCTCCTGCCTCCTTCCCTCAGCGCTGCACAATTGGACGGAGTTGCGGGTTTTTTTTCTTGTTTTTGAGGAGTTGGGTGGCGGTGGTGGTGGTGGTTGTCTGCTTCTGCTGCCGTCGTGCTGCGGTTGTGTTTTCTTAAAAAAATTTTTTTTTTTTTTCTCTCCCAAAAATTTTCCTTCTCTCTCTCTCTGTGTGTGTGTGTGTGTGTGTCTTGTGGGGACTTCTGCAAGTGGAAGAAGAGCTGTAGTCTTAATTTCCATATATAAATTGTGAAAAGGAATTGTAGAATTGTCTCTTAGCGCCTTTTTTCTTTTTTTGTTCTTTCTCTCTTTGAGTGCGCCTGCATGTAGATGGGAGGGGCTCAGGCGAAGGAGGCTGTGCAGTACTTCACGGATGTGGCGTGTGCCGAGGCCGATCCGGAGGAGAAGGAGTTTGTTGAGCGTTTGACGCGCTACAAGAAAGACATTTGCTTTGGTGCTGAATACTTCGGGGCGTCTTTGCCTGTTCTTCGGGAGCTAGTGCCGTTATGTGTAAAGACTCAACGGGTGCGATGGCTTTTTTCCTTTTGTCTGCAACAGCTGGAGCACGCCTCGTGCAACTACAATCAGGGCCACAGCGATGCGTTTATCGCCACCCTACACATCACGGAGTTTGTCGTTCGTTACGCCCATCAGGTATCGCGCGGGGATGCCGCACAGCTGTTGGACATCATCATGGGGAAGGCTCCACACGGTACAGACGGTGCGACGACGATGCAGTGGACATCCACGGAGGCAAATAAGGTGTGTTGTGCACTGATGGATTATTGCGTCTCCGTGCCGGTAACGTATGCGACGGCGGAGGCCCACAATGGGGTGGTAAGCCTATTATTGTCCATGAACTCTTCTGCCCTCTATCACAGCACGACTTTTGATGGAAAACATATGGATGTGTTCACGGAGATCATGATGTCATATGAGGGACTCGGAGCATTTATCGCAACCCTGCTGAAGCGATTGGTAGAGTGGGGGTCGGGACGTCTTTCACCCTCTCCGTTGTTATATCGTGACGGCCATCAACCATCACTGCGAAACATGTACAACGTGTTTGGCAACGGAAAGGGTAATAATTCCATCAGCTGCAGAGAGAGTTTGGGACGACATTGCGCTCAACTGCTGGCTGTGCTTCTGGCACATTTAAAGGGGAATGGACAAAATCTCGCTATGGAGTATATTAAAAAAATAGAAAATGAGGATCCCGTGCCTTTTGCTGCGCTTTTGACTGCCTTTGTCAACCGACTAAAGGTGTGTCCCTCACTTTGTATTGTGTTGTACGTTCTTGTATACGATCATCCTACGTTCCTACACACCACAATGACACTTCATGCGAAGGAGTTGTTGGATGTCATACAAGAGGTGCTTCATCTTAGCTACATTGCAGCAACGGAGACTGGGGAAGGGAATATGGCTTGTAACAATAGTATTTCTTCAACGCATCCCACCACAACAACCCTTGAGAGTTGTCAGGTTTTCATTTACAGAGAGGTATTAACACCAGAATGTGTGGCCCAGCTTCTGAAGGATATGGTGCAATTTTCGTACCCATTTATTGGGTTTATGACCAGTACACTGGTGTTACTCTTCTCACAGGACCAAGTACTTAACAGGAATATGAGCGATACAATCATTGAACCCCGTTTTAAGGCAGGACGATTTAGTGGCAAGATGTCGATTATTTCTTTGTGCGTTGTGGTTCTTGCTCATGGAATTCTCAGAGCAATGAACGAAAGAAATGAACCTTTGGCATCTGTATTTGTTCCTAGTTTGTCGAATTTGGCCCCCTTTATTTATGATATAGATGCTTACACTTCCCAGCAGTTGATACGGCTGTTGGTTTTAATTATTCGAAAGCTACGACGTTCCTCTGGGCTTATTCAGATGGATGAAAAAGAGGTCAGTTTGACAACTGAAAGCACCATTCGAGAGGGAGCGGCAGAAATGAAGGAGGATACCGAGAGTCAAATGTTTCTCCGTCAGTTAAAATTGTTGGTGGAGGCGGTGGAGGCCATGCTGCAGGGTGAGGATCGACAGAACGACTCACTTGTGTATGAACTGCTTTATAATCGTTCAAAGCTACAGGAAGGAATATCAGCAGATAGTCCATGCTCACATCTTGCGGCTGCACACGCGGCGTTGGTGCCACTGTTTCGCATTGCAGACTACTACGAAACAGAATTGGCAAGTGTCACCTCGGCGGAGAGTTATCAAGACATATTGGGAGTCATCCGGCGTGCGGCACGGGAGCAGACGGGGTCTATTCCAACTGTGAAGAACCATTCACCCACGTCGGTCCCTGCCAAATCAGCTGGAAGTGCACCATGGAGGCCTCGGGAGATTCTTTATGTCTACGAGGAGTCCCTACAAAGCTACGACTTCTTTGGCCCCTTTGTCTGGTCGACGCTGTTGTGTGATGCCATTTATCCAGGTGGTCTATTGTGGGCCACCGATACCACCGCACTGGAGATGTTTTCCCAGTAATGTGGGAGGCAATGATACGGAAAGCACCACAGAGATTATCCACAGTAACTATCGACATCTGGTCTTACCTGACAACATCACCGGCCTTTTTATTGCCTTTCAAGTAATATTTGTGCGCGTATTTGACTTTTTATCCATTAAGATGGTAGGAGAAAAAGACAGTGCGAATAGAAGAGACGAGAAGGTATGAAATTTTTTTTTTTTTGTTTTGTTCTTGATTCGGTCCGCTTGCTAATGGCGGCGATGTGGATCAAGAGCCCATCACAAGCCCAGGGATCTTTTTGCATCAATCAATCAATCTTATTCTCTCTCTCTCTCTATATATATATATATATTCTTCGCACATCGAAAAAAAAAAAGCTTTTCCTTTTTTTTTTTTTTTTTACCCTTTTTTACTTCTTTATTCAAATTCCGCCATCTTGAATTCCTTTCTTTTATCGTCACGGCTACGGGCAATTTTGACCGAAAGGGAGGGGGTGCGTGAAAGGGTTGAGTGCGTGCGTCGTGCCTTTTTTTCCCCCTTTTATGCACCACATTTGGGGTTCTCTTTTTTCCTTTTGTTTTTGTGTTTTTTCTTTCTCTTCTTTTTGTGGGATTCGCCGCACTTGGCAGGAGCGAGAGAGAGGCAGTGGGCACATTGACGGTCTGCAGTGACAAGGGGAGGGAAGAAGGTGACACCACAAGAGGAAAAACGGGCGTGCAAGGACAGAGAAGCATATATAATATATATATACGTACATAAAGAGAGGGGGATTGTGTAGGTGTGGCTGCAAGAGGGAGTGAAGGGAAGACGGAATTGAACACGATGAAGAAACGGGCTCCACCAAATCCAACGAGCGCCAGCACTTTTTTTTTTTGGCAGCTGCTTCCTACCACGGCCGCGTCATGTTCAGCCGCAGCGCAGACGGACGGCGGTGACGGTGTGGACACCGGCGAGTCGATGAGGGAGGCGGTCGCGGCAGTTCTTAAGGAATCATTTACGCCGTCAGAAACGACAGGGTTGTGGCAGCGCTGCATAGAAGAAGAGCAGGCCAATTCCGAGACAATTGAAAGCCTACTGGATGTCTCCTGGAAGCGGGTTGAGGACGTCATTGCGAGAAACAAACGGCGTCGTTGTGTCATCGAGGAGGAGTTGCCTCAGAGCCTGGCGGAAGTGGACACGTACCGCTTTTGGACACCCGACATGGCGGCGGCGCGCTTCCACTTTCCCAGGCCGGAGGAGTTTGGGCTGCGCACGACCGAGACCGTCGGGGCGGGTGGAGAGACCGGCGCCGATGTTTTGCCGGCGGACACCACAGAACAGGCATCTCATGACATGAGCTCCTCGAACGCATTACCCGGCGACTCCTCTTCACTTGTTTTGCAGCCTACGCCGCCAACAACGCCTACGCCTTCGGCTGCTGCCACGGATCCGACGATGCCGGGGAAACACAGGGCAAATGCATGGAGGAGGACGGATAAGGAGCTGCTTGACCCCACCAAGTCGCCCAACCCTCTGCGCCGTCTTTTTGCTCCCATTCTTCGACGGCGACATGAACTCCCCAAGGCACTTACGCTCCTGATCAACGCCGTCCAGCGTGTTCAATCAGAGGGGCTTCCCGAGATTGAGGCGTTGATTGAGAAGGGCTACCTTCACATGCCACTCCACCGTTCATTTCGGCATATCTCCTCCTTTATCACGCGCTACCTTTCAGAGAATTCGAGAGGCGAGGGTCGAGAGCGTGAATTTGCTGAGAATTACAAACCATCCGCTTTTCGATTTGAGGAAGCGCGGGAAAAACTGCGAGAAATGGGAAGCAAACGCGCGGCTGCGCCATCCAAGTGTGAAAAAGCAGTGGAGATTGTGTACAGCACACTGCTAACGGAGCTGCGAGAGAGGAAAGTGCTTCAAAATGACTGCGACAGTGCCTTACAAAGCATCACAGATAACACCAACCTGCAGTTAGATGGGATGGAGAAGGGTCTGCAGGATTGTGACATTGAGTCTCGTCAGGTGCTTGGCGACCTTGAACGAGACGTTTGTGCATACTTGGAAAAATTAAAGGAGGCAATTGAAAGTACCAAGGCTGCCAGAAAAGAGATTTACAACGAATATCAACGTGATCATGATCGTTTGCATTCTTCTCTAAATGGTAAATTATACCAGTTGAAGAAGAGTGAGGACATGCAGGAAAAGCTTGCCCGACGCATTCGGGAGGCCACAAAGGAGTGGCACATGGAACAGCTTAAGTATGAGCGTCTCATGCAGGAGGTTGTTGCGGAGACGCTGGCGCTTCGGCAGCTGGACTGTAGCCACAACCAGCTTGAGGCGCTATTAGATGAACGTTTACCCACAGCCGATTCCGAAATAAAGCTGCGATGGGTAACCGACTCCTTGCAGCAGTCAGAGGAGCTACGCTCGGAACTTATTGCGCAGTGTCGGCAGCACATTGAACGTCTGAAAAAGGAAGAACACTACCGTCGATGCCGCATGGTCGGCTATGCCAAAGAGAATGCGCTGTGCTGGTCACGTTGTCTGCAGGATTTGTCCGCACTGTACGAGGGTCATTATGATACCGTAACTGTCAAATGCAATGCTTCCATGCAACTGCGTTACCTCTTGGCGTACGAAAAGGACCTTGTAATAAAGGACCTCCACCAATTGCAGCGGGAATTTTCTCTCCTTGAGAAAAGCTGGGCCAAGTTAACTTCGTTACTGGAGGAGTTGGATTTGCCAGTGCCCCCGTTAGCAGAATGTGAGAAAGATGTCTCCTGTGGGGAATTTCGCCGCACCATTTCTGAGCTTGTCAGTGGCCGTCTTATTTGTGGCGATTTTGCACGACTATTGCCGATTAGGGGAGAAGGGCGGTCCTCTCCAACGGCTGGGAAAAGGGATAGTGCGACTGCCGGTGCTGGTGGCTAAAACTTTAGTTCTCACGTTTTTTTTCTTTTTTTTTGCTTCATTCATTGGTCGCTCTTTTGGCTTTACTTTTTACGCCCCTCTTCTCTTGTTGCCAATGCAGTTTTGTGTGGCTCTGGCAGTTGCGCCTATTGGGGGGGGGGGGGGGAAGGAGGAGTAGGAGTCGGTGACACCGGCAATAGTGCAGCGAGCCCATGTAAGAGAGTGGATGTACAGTTGGACTGCCGGAATTACATATTCGCTTGCGGGAGAGTACGAGGTTTTTTTTTTTTTGCTGGCGACTCATTGGAGTGAGTGAATTTCTTTTCATTTATTCCATTGTTTCTTCTAACTTTTTTTTTTTTTCTTTTTCTTTTCAAAGCGTGGGCAAAGAAGTCATTGCCGGCCTCGAAGGGGACCTACACGACAGCGAAGAGGAGCGGGCGCCACACACACACACGAAAAAAAAAAGAAAGAAAAAGAAGGAGGCACCAGAGACGCTTTGGGAAGCGGCGATGCCGCCTCGTTTACGGCCATGCGCGTTGCATCTTTCCAACCATCTGGTGGTGCAGGAGT